AAATTATTTCTCCCCCCGCCCCTTACAAATTCTACAGGTTCCTTACCAAAGTATGCAAAGGGTATGTGTCTCCCACGCCTGTGAAGAATGAAACAGTGACCAATAACAGCCTAAATGACTGATGAAGCCAGAAAGATCTTGAGAGTAGAACCAAAAAGCAACTGGAAAAAAAAATGGATGTGGAAAACGACATTTCATGGAGGAGAGAGTTTGATTTACATTTCATACAAAAAGGAGTTTTTACACCTATGCTAACTATTTTTTTTTAATTATTTCAAGCACTCCCTGACAGGTCAAGAATATTCTTTAATGCAAATGAAAGATTAAGACAATAGCAACATGGCTCCAACCAAAGCAGGAGACTGAAACATATGCCCTTCAGAGACAAAGGAAAGCATAGATTCTGCCCTAAAGAGCTCACAGTCTGCTTTTAACATACATTGGATGAGGTGATATTTACCCTATTACAGATTTAGAGAGAGCTGACTTTGTTATTTAAACTATAAAAATAATTTTCTGAAGTTTCAAAGTAATTATTGACAAGGATTCTTGGAAACAGACGTGAGCATACAGCAGTATTTTAAAAGTTCAACATAAAGATACCGGATTGAGTAAATAGCGCGAGAGCACTGCTTTAGCAGATTTGTAACCTAAGGAGATAACTGCTTGATTCATTGCTTGTTACAATGCATCAGAGTTGCTCAGTTTATCACAGCTCTTTGTTGTTTCCATGAGATTTAGTGAAAGGTTTTTTTCCACTGCTCTGCACAGCTTTTTTTAAGCTGACAGGCACACAGGCAAAGAAATCCATGGTAGTGCCTTTTTTTGTGTCCTGACAGTCTTGCTGGACCTGTCTCACTTTCATGCTGCAGGTAAGGCAATAACTCAAAAAATACTGCAGTTTCCACTTCAGAATTACTCTGGTATAATTGCAATGTGAACAACTGAAAGAAAATTGAAGCCAGAAGGCATTTAAAATAAATAAAATTGATGTTCCTGTAATGGATTTACTGGGCTCCAGAAGCAGACTGCCATCTTCCAAAATGTGTTACATTCCTCTATATACCATCCTCTTGCCAAGGCCCCATCTGGAATAGGGGAGCTGTCTTCACTCTTCACGACCAGGGAATGTCATCACTCCAAACCCAGAGGCACCGAAGGCTGCTTGTTTCTCTGTTTAGGCTAGATCACAGGGTGAGAGACCTGTAAACACCCCTATCTATGGTGGTAAAGCTGCAGTTTCAACAAAAGCATTATTATACCATCAACTGAGAGTCTACAGAGTCTATGTTCTACCACTTCCACACCTAGATATAAACGAGAAAAGAATTAAGCCTTTGCAGCTTCGCTTCCATTTCCATATATTGAAAACCGCTCATTATCAGCCCGGCAAAAGATGAGCAGAAAACAAGGAACTTAAAGGACCAAAAGAATAAAACTGACAGTGATATTAGAAGTTTATCAAACCCCGAAGACTGGACATTAAAATGACAGCCATGGAAATTGCCATAAGGTACAGCCTGGAGCAGGATCCTGAAACCAACAGCATTCCAGTGAAATGCTGGGATTGTCCCCAGGAGTGCAATTCAAGGGTCTGATCGATCATTGTCACAAAATCCTTACACAAATTGTTTTCCTATCCCTGTATAAAACAAAACCTTTAAGAAACAAACAAGTAATTCCTATACCTGCTTTCTGACATCATTTTAAGTGCTAAACTTGGTGCAAAACATTGACGTGTTATATTATTCAATCAAAAAATAATATGAACACAGGTTAAAAAAAAAATCCCTATCAGTTTCTACTTCATACACTGCAAAACGATTCTTCAGTTACTTTTATTTAGAGCAACACATTCCTAAATGGAGGTCCTTCTGAAAGTCATAATCTAGCACACACTTCAAAACCCACAACACTCACGTTTCAGAAATTGGACTGCAGCTCTACTGAAGTTTCTATTTTGGCAGTTTCCATTTAAAACTGCTTTAACGGGTGTTCGATCCTATCCCGCTGGCTTTTTCAAGGTGGAGAAATGGAGTGTGCTATATGCACACAGTATAGAAGGATGATCTTACGCATGAAACCGTAAGATTCGAGATAGATGTTCAGCTTCCAGTAGTTATGAATCTCTTCAATGATAGGTAAACTACTTCATCTCGTTAAGCCTCAGTTCTCCATGATAGTTGTGAAGACAAACTGGTTAATGGTGTTAGCTATTCAGACCCCAGAATTAAACGTTTAAATAAATTTTTAAAAAAAACACCACACAAGTCAACTAAAGAACTACAGGTAAAGAACAGGCCAGACTGACACCCAGGCCTAGGAACCCAGAAAATGGAACTAATGGGACCACATTCGCTATTGCTCCTCGCTTCTCAAGCAGGGGCTTTTAGGAACCAATTTTAGCGTATCATCTTTATTGTGTGAAGGATCCAAGAAAAAGGATACATTCAGACCTGTAATGAACATAAAAATTTTAATGAAATTGCTACCTTGTCAATCAGGTGCAGGCTGAGACAGCCAAAAATATCAGGAAGAGTTCCAATAGAGCAAAGATCACGCATGTACTGTATCAACTCTTGAAATAAAGATGTCAAAAAAATCCTTTGTGTGTAGAGGGGGTGAACAGCAAACAAAACTTGAACAGGCTTCCTTTGCTCTCTTGAATTTCTGAACAACCAGGAAAGCGTAAAACTGGTGTAGTCAGTTGCTTGTTACTGTGAACCAAGACAGTCAGTCTTACCTGCCCCCAAAGCGATAAAACAACACAAACTACCTTCCCTCAGCCCTTGCAGGCTTTGCACATATGTATTCTCATGCTACTACTGAATGAAATTCTTTAATCTCCACATCTGACCTTTAAAGCATCAAGCTTCATTAACCAAGGTGCAACACATCAAAAAGGCCTGCAACTGCAGGCACAACAAGCAGCAACGCTGCAGCTGGCGAACTGCCTCAGTCAAACGCTAGACAAGGCAGCAAGTGGTCGGGTTTTATGCTTTAGAGTGACCCAGCATTTGTGGAGATGTCAGAATTTGTGACCAGCAGCTCAACTAGCCTTAGACATATTTCTTACAGTGCATTTATAAGCTTGGCTTTACTCCACGTCACTTGCATTGCACACAGGCAAGGTGTCTATACGGTGCCATGGTACCACGTTTTTATTGAGCATACTTGCTCTTCTGTCTGTGGGCAATTAACTCAATTTGCAACAAATAAGTTTCAGCAACCAGTTTAAACTCCTCATCAGGCTTTTGGCATGGGTTGCAAAAAGCCTGCCAGCAAACTATGGCCACAAGCAGCAGTCGTTTTCACCAGGGAAACTCATTCTTCAGCTCGATCCCCCTCCCGCTACACCGCAGACACGGCCAACATACAGCAGCTTTTCAGCTACCTCTGCTGTGTAGTTCTCTCACCTATATCACACAGGAGAGGGTGTGCCCTCTAAGAGGTGTACCAGTGGTATGCATTTACTAGCGGAACGACTCCAAAATACACAGCGCAGCGACCTGCTCGAGAACACAGGACAAGCTTATTTCCAATAAGAGACCACTTTGTCCTCTCCAGCCAGACAAGCAAGACGTGGAATAGAAAGGGCAGAAGCAGTTGCTGGCGCTCGCACACAGGACTTGACTGGAGAAAAACTGTGTTTTAAGCCTACCTCCTATCTTCTCTAAGCCTTTTTCCTGAAAAATAAACAGAAGTTCAACACCGCTGCCTCTGAAGACAGGGTCTATTTTCTTACCCCCACACGCTTTACTGTTGTCTCCTAGGCCTCCCCGTCAGCAAACGTGCCTGGGTTAGCAAAAAGAGGGACACCCAGACAGACGGACTGAGCGCTCTGATCAGGCAATAGAGCTGTAAGGCCAGGGTCACAACTCCCAGTGCAAAGAGATTTCCTTAAGCATGTACGTATTCAAAAAGTACCGCTACACTGTGTTATGGCACAGTGCGATTCTCCATGTGACAGAAACACGCAGTGAGGTTCATATGATTTTGCCTATTTTGCTTTTCCTCTTTATATCTTCTCTTCACCCTCTAAATTATTCTAGTCTGTGCATTAACCCCTTGCAGAATCTCTCTTGCTGTGCCACCCAGACACCCGTATTTGCCTTTGGAATTTTCATCCTGTCTCAACTGGAGTCCTTCTCTTGGAGTATACAGCCTGTTACACTGCAGTTTATTACCTTCAAAAAGAGCCTGAAGACAAAAAGACACCTCAGGACTTAGAGAGTCCATTGATGTTCTGTTGCAACCTTCATTTAAACTGCCAATTTGGCTAAGATGGCCTAAACAGACAGGGAACAAATTGGAAAGATTAAGTATACAACCACTACAGAAATAAAATTCCATCGCAGAGCGCGGTTAGGAGCTCTGAACAGCACTGCTGCCCTACATGGGAGTGTTTTAATTGTGTGGCTGGAAATTAAAATTCTGCATTTTATTAGAACAGCAGCCCTTTAACACATTTGGGCACTGTTTATGGAAGAGCTTACCATATGACCAAGCCAGCAAAAGCAGAGGGAAAGCAGAAAACTGAAGCACAGAGCCAGTCACCTGCCTAACAGTGTAGGCAAGCCTGTGGCAGGTCCAACAGCTGGAAATAAGCTCCCTTACGTATCAGCGTATTGCTAAGCGAAGCCGAGAACGAACGCTTGTGCGGAACTACTTCCCCAAGCACTCTGCTATCACACATCATGTCAAAAACTCCACAAACAAATGCAGCCTTCTAATTAACCTGCCAGAAAGCTGACACTAAGAAGCAGCCAGAGCCCATCCTGGATCTGCTCCAGCCTTCCTTGCTGTCAATTCTAGCCATTTAGAGTCTTTGTTTGAGTTCCCCCGTGAGGTGATCCACACAAAATTCAGCTCTTCTGAAGATGAGGAAATTCTGTTACTCTCAATATCACTATGTAGGACAGCTCTCAAAGAGCAATGAAAAAAAAAAAGTTATTATAAACAGAAGTCTTACACTCAAGTTTGATAAAAGACAATAATACCTTAATTTTCTGGTGAATGTGTCTCAGTGAATCTGCTGTACCCATGTCCATGTTGTCACTGATGCACACAAAATCCAGCTTCATTTTTGTGTCCAAGTTTAACATCTTTTGGATTTCCTTCCTTGTAATCACAATGACCTCTAGGACAGAGAAAAGTGGGATGAGATCAAGCGGAAAAAAAAAAAAAAAATTTTCATCACAAATAGGACACACTCACTTTTTATTTACGAAGCCTAATGAAACTGTCAAAAGCCTTGAGTAACATAATGGGCTTCTCCCATGAACGTAGCTCTTTTGGCAAAGTTCACTTTTGAAGACGGTAACTCCTAATGAATGCAAAAACAATCTCCCCTGCTCTGTGTAGGCGGAGGGTTGTCATTGAAAGGGATACATGCGAGGGACACAAGTATAGCAGAACAGAACAGAAATGTCTTCTGTTGTTAGTAAGTGACCTCAAACAGACCAATGAGACTCTACATTAATGTCACCAACAGTTCAGAGCTTTATCATTTGCCCTCCCTGATCCTGTTGAAGCCTCTGTGGACAACATCACCAACCACAGTATTACAGTGTAATTGTTAGACTATATCCCAGCACCAGCTTGTCAAGGAAGTGAAGTAATACGTGAGGAACAGACTCATCCCATCTACAAAAGAAAAAAGGTGAACGCATATTTGAAGGATATTGACAGTGGCATAAAAGCGTATTTTCCAAAATTAAGAATATGAGACGAAAGCTGTGCAAAGACAAGACTGAGAAAACAAAACAGCAAGAAACCTTTTCCCCTGGCCTCAAGAACTGGAAGGAAAAGCAAGAGTCAGACCCTCAAATTAAAATATCTCACTGTCCAAAGAAAACCCCAATATCATAACATCATATTCCACATGGAATTTTAACAGCAAAGTATGGGAAATAATAGAGCCGTCAGCCTAGGAAGCTCCTGTGGCAAGATGAATTCACCCTAAAAATAAAACTGTATTGTTCAAAACTGAACTCATCCTGAATTCGTTAACAGAAAAGAAGAAGAAACTGCAAACATGAGAATCATGGGGCAGCTTGGTATCAGAGGTACGGGAGGGCTCCCCGCCCACTCCCGTACCGGATGCCAACTTGGATTCAAAACAGTCTGAAGAACCTAGAGAAAGGGACTGAAACTGTCTTGAACTGGAGAAAGAAGTAACTGAAGGAGAAGGAACTGGCGTCAGGTGGAAGTTAGAACCCCACAATTCAGCATTCATCCGTCAAGCTGGACAAAGGTCTCCTAATGTTTATTAGGAGATGAAGCAGTTGCAGTTGGGGCACAAGGGACGCAGTGACTCAGACTGTGAAATACCCAGTTATTAATACAAACAAGTGTGAGGAACTAAAGACTCCCGTAACACTTAGAATTATGATGCAGGGAGTGAATTCATGCCACAGAAATGTAAGCTTGGTCAGGGGGCAGAAGCAAGAGAGGAGCAGGAAGGTGGCAGCTAGCTTACTGAAGCTGCAATACAGCCCTGCATGTCAAAACTTTAGCAGGCAATAGGCAAGATGAAGAGCTACATGTAAGAAGAGTGAGCTTACTGTAACACCACCTACTAGTGGTCAAGAGCATCAAGTGGAAATGGCTATTTCTGAGTAGTTTTAAAGAGCTACACAAAGCACAAGACTGGTTATAAAGAAGCTTTCAGCTAAGTATATATCCATGTCACTGGATGAAAGTATGATCCTAGCAAAAGAAGAGGCAGAACAGTCAATGAAAGTGGATATTCAGAAAGCTGACTTCAACAAAAAACAGGCAAAAAGCAATTCCAAGGGAATAAAGTTCTTAATGAAACAAAATAAAAGCGAAGTCTTCAGTTTGCTCTTTCGTTCCTTCACACTGAAAGTGTAAGAGGTGGAGATAGCCATGAGCTGATCTTCACATCTTCACAGAGAAAAGCAGCAGTCAGGAAAAAAGCCACATCCTCAGGATGTAGTATAGAATAATCACAGTCATGCAGCAGAAGCAGAGAAGCAGAATGGTAAAGGACAAATAGAAACATGAAAAATCAGCCATGAAGAGTGTCAGGAAGAAGCTTTGTAAGTAGCAGAAATACCACAGGAAGATTTGGTTCACCACCGAAAAGGTGAACAAAACCCTAACCCCAGAACATACCAAAGAACCTCACCACATACTACATACCATTTTAGCCCTCCTCTGAAAGAAGGCTCACAGGTGAGCATTACAAGTCTGCCACTTCCCCCTGCCCTATTCTGTCCAAAACCCAGCATTTGGCTCCACACTGCAACAACAAACACTAAATGCCTCAGAGTAAGTAACCCTGAACTTCAGGCCAGACTGAAACAACAAACCATGAGACATCCCATGAGAGTTGACACGCTCCTCACACCCCTCTCATTAGTAATTCAGAGAAAGAAATGAGCGAGAGATTCCCAGTTAATATCACTGAGAAAGACACCAAAGTTGAGAAAAGTATATACACATGAAAAGTCCTGACGAGGGGAGAAGAGGGGGAAGGGGGTGCACGCACAGGAAGCACGGTCTAGAGGTAAGGAAAGGATGTGACATAGGCCAATGGCATAGCTCCAATACAGAGAAGAGACCTACAGCTAAAGCAACTGCCTTGACCAACGGGGCACCTGCAACAGCACATTGTAACAAGAGGGGACAACAAACAGGAGGGGCAGAGGTGGCTACGGGAAGCGTGAAGAGACCCGGGTAAGCACGTCGTCTCCACCTGCAGCCCAAGCCGCCGTCGTGCCTCACCTTCGAAGCCGGCACGCTCCAGGAGGTTCAGCGGGTACCAGAGCAGGGGCCGGTTGCCTACCGGGAGCAGCGGCTTGGGGATGCTGGAGGTCAGG